GGGATGGAGGAGGGATGGGCGGTTGGCTCTGTGGGGGGATGGGGGATGGGCGGTTGGTTCATGAGGGGAAGATGCAGAGGTGTGGGGAGATGGGCAGACATGTAGGTGGGTCTGAAGGGACAGATGAAGTGGAAGAGAAATGGAACTGCAGCCCTCCTGCCGCTCCTGACTCCCCTTTGCCCTGTGACAACAGCCCCCCCTTTCCCTGCCAGGAGCCCTGCCCATCCCCTAGGGGCGCAGGCTAGCAGGGCCCCTCACCTGCAGGGCAGGATTCTGCCTGGCTCAGCCCAGCCTCTCTGCTGCTCCTAGGCCGGGAGGGCCCCAGCCAGCTCCGAACTGAGGTTCGGCTGCACCCACTGCCCAGGAATGGCAGGGCAGAGACAGCCAGGGAAGGAGGGGACAAGGCGAATGCCCGGCGCTGACAGGAGCCCCTGGCCCACGGTGGCTCAGCCCAGAGCCGGTGCCCGGCAGGACAGTGGGACTGGGAGCCAGGACTCTGGGCGGGGCTGGGAGTCGCTATTCGCCCTTCCCAGCAGTCCCTGGGCTGGTTAATCGCACATCCAGCCCCATGACCGGGTTTGCTATTAACCAGCCGGGCTGGCCCCCGGGGACCCTTCCAGGCAGTGTCATTTGGGTGCAGGGAGAGAGACAGGATGGAGGAGCTGCCGCAGCCCCGGGCCACCATCAACAACGCTGCCGACATCAGCGTCATCGTGGGCTACTTCGTCCTGGTCATCGGCGTGGGGCTCTGGGTAGGTGCCTGGCCCTTTGCCCCAGACCCCTCTGCCCCCACACACTGGGCACCAGGGGAAGGCCTGTGGGGCAGCTAGAGACCCAGTTCACACTTCTGGGACCCAGAACCACCAGGCAGAGACCTGGACCCAGAACCAGAACTAACCACCCCCAAATTAGACACAGAACTTGAATCAAGGATGTTCACCCATCCCCTATGCACCCCTCTAGCCATCCACCCATCCCCTATGGCCTCCATCGCTCTATCCACCCATCCCCTGTGGCCTCCATCCCTCGATCCACCCATCCTCTGTGCCAGGGGTGCGCAACCTTTTTGCATTCCTGACCCCCAGATCCAATAAACGGGGTCTGGAAAAATTTTCATTGAGCAAAAAAAAAAAAAAAGCGTGGCCCCTTTAATTGCTGCTCTGCTCCTGCCCCCAACCCCGCTGTGTGTACGGGTGCTGAGCCAGGAAAAGAAAATACCAGCCGGCCTGGCTCAAGGTGCTGCAACCCACCCGGAGGGCAGCCCTCGGGTTGTGCACTGCTGCTCTAGCACCCTTCTATCAATCTATCCCCTACATACCCGTCTATTCATCTGCCCATCCCCTACACACCCCTCTATCCATCCACCTAAGCCCGCTACACCCTTCTGTCCATCCATCCCCAATCTAACCACCCTTTCTATACACACCCCTCTAGTGACCCATCCATCCATCCTTCTCCATACACCCCCCCATAACTTGACCCATCCATCCATCCTTCTCCATACTCCCCCCTGTAACGAGCCACCCATCCCTATACACATCCCCTGTTGATCCATCCATCCCTATACACCCCTCTATCTAGCTATCACCCAGCCCTATACGCACCCCTCTCTCAAGCCCTCTAGACAACCCTCTATCCACCTGTCCCATAGGCTGGCTCAGCTGGTTCCCCATGAGCACTCTGGTATTTGTGGTTCCCTTTCTAAGGCTCGTCCCATTGATTATATAGGGAGACTAGTGCCCAGCTCAGTCTTGGGGGATCCCAGGATTGGCCCAGTGCTGTTCTTACACGTTAGGCCACCCCATGTTAAGCACCACAGCGCCTGAGTCCTTTCACTGAGCTGGACCCTAGAACCCAACTGTCTCCTGTGATTGATGTGCCTAGAACATGAGTCACTGGCATGGTTGATGTACCTAGAACCCACCCCGTTGGCTCTGGAATGGGACTGTCCTTGCCCCACCATCCACAAGACATCTTTGCCCCTTTTGCCCATTACAGCACCCTCTGCTCCCCCTCCCCCCAGGAGGGACACATCTCACAGTGGAAGGACGGGTGGGGTCTGGTTGTAGGGTTGTTTTTTTCCTCTCTTCTATTCTCAGCTGGTTGAGCTCAGCTCCTGATTGGCCAGGGACAGGGGAAGAGGGTGTTAATTATTACTAGGAAGTACATGGTCCAGGAATGCGTATGGGGTCTGTAATGAGGTGTAAATGTCAACAGATTAGTAGATTAGTCAGGGAGAAGCAATGTATTGTGTGCACCCCCTGCATTGCCTGGCTGCACGTAGTCCCTCGGCCCCCGCCCCTTGGCATTAATAAGTCACTGTGGCCCCTCCACCCATGGGCCCCATCTCTACCCATCCAATCTGGATCCTCCCCCCTCCTCCCATCCTGGGGACACCTTAGCTTGCTGCAATACATGACCAAGACACACACGTGGGACACACCAGAATCACTCAGGCAAAACGCCGCCATTCCAATGGGATAACTCACTCCACGCCAGGCTGGCTCCCAACCGAGGCCCACCTAACCCAGTCTCCGGCAAAGGAAAGTGTCAGACCCTCCCCCTCAGTCCCACGAGATACATCCATTCTCAACCGGGTCTCTGATAGGGACCCCAGCAGTCCTGCAGCTGGAGCTGTGCCACTCACGCTGGCTAGTTTCAGCCACTGAAATAGCCAGTCCTGCTTTCGATCTTGGCCCCCACAACGTCTAGTGGTGGGGAGTTCCGAAGGCCGATCACACCTTCTCCTTGGACAGCCTGCCTCCTCGTGAGTGAAGCCAGTCAGTCTATTTAGCTTAAAGAAGAGCCGGTGAAGGGGGTGATCTACTCACAGTCTGTGAGCACCTGTGGGGAGACCCAATAAGGCATCATGGGCTCTTCAGAAGGTCTGACACGACCCAGTGGCTGGAAGATGAAACTAGACACGTTCAGCCGGGAAATGAGGGCTACGTTTCTAGAGGGGGGTGGAATCAGCCATTGGAACAACTGCTCCAGGGCTGTGGCTGATTCTCCATTGCCGGCACGGCGGGCTGTGGCTCTAATAGCTCCGCGCTGTCAGCCTGCATGGGAGGTCGGGCGAGACGGCTACAAGGCGCCTGTCTGGCTGTAGGAGCCCTGAGTCGCTGAGCCCCCGTCCAGTCACCCAGGGATACAAGGCTGGCAGGGTCTCCCCGGAGCTGGTGGAAAAGCGCAAACAGGCAGGCCCTGGAAAACCCCCTTCTCCTGCTCTTGCCCCCACAGTCTATGCGCCGCACCAACCGGGGCAGCATCGGGGGCTACTTCCTGGCGGGTAGAAACATGGTCTGGTGGCCGGTGAGTGCTGCAGTGGGGCGGGAAGATAGACAGAGAGACAAAGAGGCAGCACCCAGGGGGATGTGTGAGGGATTCCCCGACCATATGGGGCTGGAGTCAGAGCTGGGATTACAGAAGGGGGTTCATACGGGACTGGAGCAGCAGCTGGGATGAGACTGGGGGTAAGGGCTTGCCATCAGGGGGATGACAGGTTGGGTGTTGGGGGTTGGTTTTGGGGGCAGTGTCCAGGGGCAGGACTGGGGTTAGGAGGCAGTGCCCAGGGGCAGGGCTGGGGTTAGGGGGCAGTGTCCAGGGGCAGGACTGGGGTTAGGAGGCAGTGCCCAGGGGCAGGGCTGGGGTTAGGGGGCAGTGTCCAGGGGCAGGACTGGGGTTAGGAGGCAGTGCCCAGGGGCAGGGCTGGGGTTAGGGGGCAGTGTCCAGGGGCAGGACTGGGGTTAGGAGGCAGTGCCCAGGGGCAGGGCTGGGGTTAGGGGGCAGTGCCCAGGGGCAGGACTGG